GGTCTTGGTTGTACTTCTTGGAGTTTCAAGACTACCATAGGTGTGGTCAGTCTTGACTGATTCACTCCTGATACTTGCAGGTGTTCCATCCTGTGAGAAAACAGAAACTTGGTTTAATGGTCTACTTCATAGACTATATTTATTCAGTTACAGAGCAACGTCTTTCCTTGGATACACATCATCTGAGTATTGCAGAGTTGCAATTTTTTCGTTTCCTGGAGAGCATGAAGAACTGCCTACGTCCTGAAACAAAAGCGTAAAAAAAAAGTATGGCAAAGTGCAAATCACTGGTATTATTACGTCTAACATTGTTAATACCTGGAGGAACGTTCCAGAGGATGGGGGGGGGGGGGGGAGATTCGCAAACATAAAAGAATGTGTGAGAGGGGTTACCTAGACACGAGAGGTTCTGAGGGGGGGGGGGGGGGGGAGTTGGGGGGTTATGGCAAATGTCTTGAGAGGGGGGTACCCGAACACGAAAAATAGTGGAGGTCCTGAGCTGGGGGGGATGCCCTGGGGAGGGTGGGTGTGGTGAATGCCCTTGGAAACAGGGGGGGGGGGGTGCCCAGACACAAAAGGTTGGGGGAGGGGGGCACTCGGAGAAGGAGGGTATGGTGAATGTCCAGGGAGGTGGGGGTACCCGGACACGAATGATCGGGCGGAAGGGGGGCGAGGCTTTACTCAGTCACTCAGGCTTCACCCAACAGTCGTTCTCATTCACCCAAATGCTAGCCTATAGACGTTAAACATTAATAGGGTAACAGTCAGAATACCCACCCGACACTGTTGTTTAGACCGACCACCAGAAGGAAAATTGTTCTTTTAGCCTCACCTGTTCGGCTGCTCAAGAAAGTCTCCAGGTTCGCCGTCCTGGCATGCTTTGCTCCTCATCAAATGACATAAAAACCTGCATGGTGACATCATGTTTAAACCTATAATAATCTAACATCAGCATCTCTACACCGCACCTGTTGATCTTTCTTTCGGTGAGAGCGCTCAATTGATCTTGATGGGAGAGGGGTACCCTAATTAGAACAAAATGTACACTTCAATACAAGTCACACAAAATGTTTTACCTATTTTTATAATGCACAGTTTCCTAATTATGTTCAATTTCCACCTGTGCACTTCTCTTTAAAACACATGAATTAGCAATTCCTGCCGTAACTGCAAAGTCTCCTTTTGGTATGTTGTCTTCGTTGAAGAGTGTGAGGGGCCTGGATCGCCTTTTGTGAACTATTGTATGACAGATTAAGTGAATCAGTCCTATTCACTCTTTTAAGTAAAGAGCAAGGCATGTCTGTATTACCTCCCCCGTTGCTCTTCGAAACAGCATGTCCCCCTGGAATTGAAAGAAACCAACCTTGCTTTTAGGCTGCTTCAAGGGTCTACTTTTAAGGTCGGAGCTGAAATATTTTCTGCATTACCTCTGGAGTTCTTCACAGGGACGGTGTTACTGTCCGAGGCCGTGGGTGGTTCATGTCTCCAACACCTGGAGACTATCATGAGATGGGTTACCAGCGAGGTCGCCCTACTCGCTATGCCTTACCTGTCGTGTCTTTTTCGGGGACGGTGTTACAGTCCAAGACCGAAGGTGGCTGGTCTCTCCACCACTTGTGAACTATCGTTGGATGGGTTATCTGTCAGGTCGGCTATCTAGACCTGACTTGAAATGTATTTGCCTTACCTGTCGTGTCTTTCTCGGGGACGGATTTAGTCTCCAAGACCAAGGGTGGCTGGTCTCTCGACCACTTGGAGACTACTGTTGCATAAATTATATGTCAGGTCGACTCTCTAAAGCTGGCTCTTAATCCCTTTGCCTTACCTATCGAGTCTCTCTTGGGGTTGGTGCGACCGTCCAAGACCGAGGGTGGCTGGTCTCTCGACCGCTTGGAGACTATCATTGGATGGGCTGCGCGTCAGGTCGACTACCCAGACCTGACTCACAATTTCTTACCTGTCCTGTCCTTCTCAAAGTCGGTGCAACTGTCCGAGAACAAGGGTGGCTGGTCTCTTGATCACCTGGAGACTGTCATGAGTGGGGTTACGAGCGGGGTTGGCCTACTCGCAATGTGTATGCCTCACCTGCCGTGTCTTTTTGGGGAAGGAGTTGTCCAAGACCGAGAATGGCTGGTCTCTCGACAACTTGGAGACTATTGTTGGATAGGTTGCGTGTCAGGTCGACTACCCAGACCCGGCTTGCAATTTGTTTGGCTTACCTGTCGGGTCTCTTTCAAGGTCGGTGTAACTGTTCGTGAACGAGGGTGACTGGTCTCCCGACCGCTTGGAGACTGTCATTGAATGGGTTATGTGTGAGGCGGACTACCGACATCTTACCCTCATTTCGTTTGCCTTACCTGTTGGGTCTTCGTTTGACATGGCGTCCGAGGGAGGCTGGGCTCTTTTGTTGGTGACCGTTTTTAGAAGAATTTTGTTAGTTAACACTTGTCTTACTAAAATCAGGTGGAATTTAATCTTGAGTTGCTCACCTGATCACTGGGCTGGTGCAAAGCAAAGATTGTTGGCACAGCATCTGGCTTTAAGTAACTCTTATTATGTGACGCGTAAAAACGAGGTGGTTCAAAGTGATATGAGCATATCTTGGGAGGGGGAGGGGGGGGGGGGAGGTGGTGTCGCCAGTCAGGATACGATGACTCTTTTTTTATGGCTCTCAGTCACCTTCGAAGGAGCTCAGGGTTTTTGAAGGGAAACCTGCACCAGTAAATTTGTTTTCGCGCTACATCAGGGTCGGTGGGTGGCACTCGTTCTGCCACCCACCAGTCCAGATGAGTATACCCATCTCTATGATGTCTCAGCCACATCAAAATTTAGCGGATGGACTAAAAACCACGGCACACTGCTGCGCGTGTACCGAGCGCTCAAAAGAAGTACTTAAAGAACCTCTGAAAGGAAAAAAAATGAACAATCTGATTGGGAGGCGCGTGTCAAAAAAATTAATTTCACGGGGAAAAAAAATTTAGAGCAATATTGATGGCGCGAGACGCGATTTTGTCGGCAGTCATCTCCTTTCCACTTGTTTTCTCTCAGCATTTCGGGCACTTGGAGGAGAGGTGGATCTGCTTCCCCTTCACGTTGAGGTGGAAAGAGCGAATGCCTGAGATGGTCATTCGGGAATGACCCGTAATGTCATAAACTTTGCGCCCAGAATTTCAAATAAATGTCTCGCAGTCAATATTGCACTAAAAAAACTATTTTCGCGTAAAATTAATTTTTTTTGACACAAGTACCCCAACCAGACTGTTTAAAAAAAAACATTTTTTTTTTCTTTTTGAGGGTCCCTTTAAATACGCCGAGCAGTATTTCAGCGAACGGCAGCTAGCGGGAAAACACTAAACTGGCCGAAACAGGTCCCTTCGCGATTTCAGCTGGTCTCTTCTAGATTCCCTGTTTACATGTTGTCGGTGGTTTGCGCGACAGAACAATTCTACCGGTAACTGTGTCGTAACCGTAGTATCGCCTTGTGGCCCAGGTTGCTCTGGACGCGACCTACGTAACCGCGTGAGCCAGACATTCTGCGTTTATCAACGTTCATCAGCAGCGTGGAAGGACAGTAGGCAGTTTTTTCCTCGTTTCCTCGAAGAAAGTCAAGCCTCTGGAAGTTCGCTTACCCCAGCACATCGTCGCAGGTTCGAAACGTGGAGGATAAAACGCGGGGAAACCAATTTTGAGTCCAATGCTTACTTGCTGGTGCCCCAGCGTTGTGAGTTGAGCTGGCACATGGCAAGGCACGACCTGGATTCGACCGCCATATTTTCCCGATAGTTGCGTCCCCCCTAGGTCGCTGGAGTCGCGAAATGGCGACTCTGGCGATTCAATTGGTTTCCTGGAGAGGGCTTCCCTATTTTGTGTGAGAACGTTTCCAGAGTAGATACATGAGGGCCGTGATCTCGCTATATTTTAAAGGACAATAATCTCACCTCTGGGCGTACCAACCGGAGGGGGAGAAGGGACAAGGGGCCGCTTGCCGCCCCAGTTCTCATTGTGTGTGTGTGTGTGTGTGGGGGGGGGGGGGGGGGGAAGAGGCAAAGCATGTGTTTTGTCCCCGCTGAAACAGCCGCCACTGAACAGGGTAAGCACTGGCCGGCGGAACCCAAGGGATACCAAGAACACCACCCCCGGCCCTGGGAGGGGGAGGGGGGGGGGGGTCTGGTTTGCCCGGCCCACTCAAAAACATGTTGGTACGCCACTGATCTCACCTTACGAAAGTGAATAATGGCTTGGCATATGCGCCTTTGCGAAAGACAGCACCTCATAAAACAACCTTAACTTTGCAGATGGCGAAGAATGCGTGCATAGTTTGCTAATAGAGCCTTTTTGTAGACCGTATGCTAGAGCGTATACGCTTTTCTAGAGGGAGCTGGGGCCGTCACTTCGAAGCATGAATTGAGCACGCGCCTATTTGGCACGCTCTCTGCAGCTTACGGTCTACTAAAACCTATCCAACCTCTAACAAGAGTGTCAGAGCGAGCAACATGGCAGCGCTGATCAAGGGTGTTCGTGTGGATCGCTCTCGCGAGGGTTGCCTCGGCGCTTTCACGGGGGCCGTTGTTTTGTCGTTTGCAAGTTAGACGGTAAGGCTGAAACGAATTGCAATGTCCTTTTGTACCTAAACAGTGCGGAACTGTAACTAAAGTTTTACTGATGCCAGTGAGAATGACTGCTGTTAGTCTTCTACGATAAATTTGCATGTTATAAGTAATCCACAAAAACTCGTGTTATTTGTTAAAGAGCGTTGACAGTCTACTTCGCTGCAGCGTGATCCTTGCACACTAACGTATGGAGAATTTCTCAAAACGTTTCTTAGATTCAAACCTCATCATGCAAAGTAGATTCATTAAATGTTACCAAATAAGACCCCAAGTACGATATTTCTCTGAGCTTGTGACGTGGCATAAAATATTGCAATGGCCTTGCGTCAAATGAATTGCCCCTGTCACTGGATCGACCAGAATAGTAAAAAAAAAAAAAGGAAAAAGATGTGAAAGATGTCTGTGCATTTTATTTCAACATTGATGTTTGCAGAACAAGGAAGTTGCACACTTTACTTGCATTAAAGCAAATAAGAAACTATCAATTACATCACAATCCAAGTTCTTGAGACAAAATACAGTCAGCAGATCACAAGGTGTCACAAGTTCCCAGCAAGGTGATCTTCAGCAGGGCTTTGTAAGGTTTCTATCATGAGATCTTGCACTTAAAAAAGCTTTCCCGAAAAGATCATCCCTTCGGAAAATGGAGCACAGAGACTTCCGGGAATAATTTACAAAGGCTCATAACACTCAGCGCAAGGCATCACCAAACGAAGCGTGTGAAGTAAGAAAGTGCCTCCCTGTCTGTGTTCGGGCTTTCTCGCAACACCACATCAAACAGGGATATGTTATGTAAACATATAAAAATTTTGTTTTATATAAATATATGTATATCCTCTTTGGAAGACAAACAAATTAAGGCACGGCTTCCTCAAGCTTTCGTACAACAAAATACTGGGGGTGATCTTAATACTTTTATAGACAGTCTTTTTAGGAGAAGCATGGGAAAGTTGACAATTCAAGTATAAGTTACAATTTAGGGGGAGAAGGCTTTGAAAAATTATCTTGCATATAGTCCTTACTGAGGGTATACCTCCACAAACGTTCCACTACGACAGGACATCGTTTACAGCCTGTGAACAGCACGGAATTTGCAATGACAGTAGACAGTACCTTCTTCCTCGCTTCTCTCCTAAAAATGCACATCCGCAATATACACAATCTCCTTGATATATTCGCTTTCTTATGATAAATGCTGCAACAATACTTTCGAGTTATGTTGCTCTCAAAATATAACATATGATGAAGTAGGAATTCATGTATAATATATATGTATATATTTACAAGATAACTTGATCATTATGGATATAATCCATGAAGTGAAAAGAAAAAAAAACTCTCAGGATATTGTGCTGATATCCTGGAATCAAGGCACATGAAAAAAACAAAAAACAAAGCTTTAGTTGGTACTTTCAGTGCAAAACTGATAGCACAGGACAAACGAGACAGTGGAATACTTTGGCTCTTTGCTGTATCTTGTTTCTTGACATGCTCCACCTGAAGGTAGTTCCTCACTTTGACTACTACTTATTCAGGCTGACTAAAACAAAAGAAATATTTGCTAACATCTGACACCTTTAAAAGTTCTAGCAATAAAATGAAAATAAAATGAGCTAATCATTTTCATGTTTTGCTGTAGCTTAAAAACCACTGAATTGGCAAAGTTAGGTTTTGGATCAATTTCATCCTTAAAATCTGTTAACAGCTTTTTCACAACTGAACACCCCAATCAAAGGGCCAGGTGTTGGTAGACTATGTGTTCATTTGTTTACGAATTAAGCTAACATTTAGCAATAAAATTAAGATTATTCAAGATGGCTACATAAATATTGTAGTTAAAAAGATGCACTGAAAGGCTCAGTGTTTCACTGTTTGCATAGCATTTTTTTTTTCGAGGAAAATGGTCAACAGCATTGCATGCATAAGGCTGGCTTGATACCTGTATTTCACATACTGATACAGTATAAAACATGTTTGAAACATCTCTTCAGAAATCTTGCCAAACTAACCCTCTTCACTCATTCATTGAAAATAACAGGTGATGCACAGGTCATGCATGTTTTTATAATGCCAACTTGCAGTGTACCCTAGAAGAATACCTTGACAATGTCAAGGTTCTGTTGAACACGAGATATTTGCACTGAAGCGCTATTCAATGGCCTTCACGCATTACAGAAACGTTCTGCAAAGGCCTAGTGGTGCCAAGACATTTCGGTGCAAAATAACAAATTTGCACGCATTCTTACATGATGTGCAGCCATCCCGATGGGCTAAGAAGAGAGTATCTACCAATTTTTTTGTCCTCAGCTTTTTGTCACCTTAAAAAGCTCGCTCACACTTTTGAGACCAACGACAATGATACAGCAACAAAATGCTCCACCATACACATACACATATTAAAACAAAACAAAATACAATGAAATCACCAGAAGCAACTGCATCAACATGAAGAATGGCTGCTTGAGCAAAAACGGGTCTTCTCAAAAGTTCATACTTCTTCTGCACAGTTTGCTTCATCAAGAAGAGAAAGAGCAGTCCCCAAGCTCCTCTTCAATGCCTTGGCAGTTCCTTTTGGGCATTCAGTTTCTGCATGCCAGTTTTAATGCCGCACACTTTGGAGTTTCCTTGTCCTGTCTATTAGACTTTCAAACCATAAGATGTACACAGAAAAAAAAAGAAAAGCAGACACTCCTGCACACATTTTCTCAGTCTTCATCCTTCTTCTCAGGCTTGAGCTCCACCATGGCATGCAGTTCTTCAGGGGTGTAGCCCAGCAGAGCCTGGAGATCACACACAAAGCGGTACACATATCGCTTGCCCGCCGTCTTGTGAATGATGTTTTTATCGTAGTAGTAGCGCAGGCCTCGACTCAGTTTCTCATAGTTCATCTTGGGCTTGTTTTTGCGCACTCCCCAGCGACGAGCTACTTCGTCAGGGTCGGTCAGCTTGAACTCCCAGCCGTCTCCTGTCCAGCTGATGAATCCTTGGCAAGACTTGTCTGTGAGAAGTTCCAGGAGAAACTGCCACAGCTGGATGGGGCCACTTCCTAAAGGAGCCAAGATAATAAGAGTGGAATGTCAGCACAGAACACAATGTATACAATATATGTCGTTAAGGGCTTACAAACCAGCAGCACTAAAAGAAAAGTAATGCATAATTTTATTAAACTTTATAACTTTTAATGATCAAAAAAGTCAAGTGATGAATCAAGTTTTTGGTCAGTTGAATCCCAGAGTGCCATTTTAGTACAACCCATCAAGCAAACATCCATAAGTTTTTACAGTCCCTCTCCATGTAAAAAATAGACACAGAATATTTAGAAGGAAACAGAAGAGCACTTAGAACACAACAGCATGGTCCATTTGGACAGCAAGTGATTGTCTGTACAAAATATTGCACTATCAATTGACTTCTTGAGATATTTTAAATTCCATCTCTTGCTATGTACCATGCAATTATGAAACATTTAGCAAAGCAAAGCTGATATCTAACATATATTTTCATCTGCAAATAAGTATAGTCTCCAGCAACATGAAGCTCCCTCAGAGCAGCAGGCCATGCACTTCAAGGGTTCTTTCATATTTCTGGAGGCTGTGCCAAAATGAAGCCTCCTCACAAAATTCTGTAGGCACAAAATAAAGAGGAAATGATTGAAGCTGCAAAAGCAATACTACTTCACTACACATTCACTGTCCAAATGAGGTGGTTCAGGCTAAGTGTGCAAAGAATTCAGGCTATTTGTTTCTTTTTAATAACGTATATAGGTATGTCCTGCAAACAAGAAAACCTGACTACCGAAGAAACACGTCCCTGAATTCCAATTTTGTTACGAAGTTCACTGAGCCATCTCATTTCCGTTCTGTTGGCTGTGGAAGCAGAAAGCAAGAGGACAAGTGTGTCCATCTCTTATTTTGAGAAGCAGCAAATGCCAGGGCAGTACAGGTAACAACACACCCCGTACAAAGCTACAGGGCAAGCTCATCCATGTTGCAGTATGGCTATGGCAAAAGTCATGCAAGAAAGCAGAGAAGCACCAAAAAAACAAAAATAGGAGGCACAAAAGTTGTTGCAGTTTTGGCTAGCATCTAAGCATGCACAAATTGGCTCAGCCATGCCAGCTTTTTCTTTAGCTATCATATGAAGCATCAGCAGAGCAGCACAAGTCAATCTTCATTTAAAGTAAAGGATACTTTAACAATATCAATAAAAATACAAACCAAAAGAACACTGAGCCTCCCACATACAGCAGCACAAAGAGAAAAAAAGGTCCAGCTTATGAAAAAAAGCAGTAAGTGCCATAAACATTGTCATCTACTTTAAATTCTTATCTGGTACACTAACATTGGAACTAATAGTTTTAAAGAAACATGTGCCTTATATAAATGAATATACAGTAGAATCTGGCTATAGCCACTGTCCATTCCAATAATTAAAGCAGCTTTAAATGGAACGGGACAATATTCAGGGTTATTTCGGCAGTAAGGAATAACTTTCTGATAGTATAAGTGACTACATAATCTAGATGCACTAAAATTCACAAGATCATAAGAAACTTGATTTTGTCACAAGAAATGCTACCCACTCCGACATTGCCTGATTAGTTTTTCCAACTATTTAATTATTGAAGGATACAAAAAGACATTTTAACAGTGTAAAGTATGCCAACCTAACTTCGTTTTTTTTATGGTGAAGCAGTGAAGTTGGTTTATGAGAAGCTTTGCAAAAAAAGGCCACAAACGATATAACTGCGGTAGTGCAAAAAATCTTCCTTTCACCCTAGTGTACGGAACATGACAAATTAAGTTTTACCAATAAGATGAAAGAAAAGAAAAAGAAAATATCGAGCATATCTCTTCATTTCTGACTGCAGGGTTACAGGTTATCTAAACAAAAAAAAGGGTTAATCCCGCTTGCAACATGGATGAGAAGGGCAGTCAATGCATGGCCCTTAAAAGGCACCAAGGGGAGTGAGTACTAGTCAAAACCTATAGTCGGTGACAGGTCAAGAACGAAGTGGAAGCTCCTCCCACCTCTTTCCATTTTAGTAGATCGAACGGTGGAGAGAAAGCGCGACTATAGATATAATTTTTTTCTGCATTCGAGGTGAGGAGGTCGCCTCCTCTCCAGCATTCGCTCTGCTAAAGTGGAAAGGGGTGGGAGGAGCTTCTACTTCGTTCCTGACCTGTCACCGACTATAGCTATAGACATATGCTTCCATTTGCAACAGAACGGTAGGGTTTGTTACTCCAAGAACACACCGGAATAACCTGCTAAAACGGCCGCTTGGATGACTGGCTTGCTATCTCCACCATGCTGCCTCTGGTGTGGACCTCCTGGCAGAGGACTGAGGTGACCCAGGTGACCGTCCCGGAGGGCGTGTAGGGCGCCAAAGGAAGACGGGTGGTGGTGGGGGACGCCGTTGGCGCCGAGGGGGCCTGCGGTGCCGTTCTGGTGTGCCACCCAGTGGTCGGTTGGGTTCTGCACTCCCGTGGGCACCGTTTGGAATGGGGGCTCGTAGTGGTGCGAAGCGTACCTCTCGGGGAGGCTCATCTCATGGTGGGAGTACCTCTCTGCAAGGGAGCCGAGAAACGCATGAAGTTAGGTTTGAGAGGAAACGTGCAGGGGAATAGAAACATTCCAAAAACAAACAGCTAATCTGTAAAAATAAAAAAAAAATTGTGTGTGTATGTTTATAAAGCCTGAACTCAGTCTGCCTCAATGGGCGACTTGTCTCTCAGTGGTAGATGAGCAATTTAGCCAGTGCGATAGAACCGCTAGCCTGGTGTCTTCAATGTGCACCGCGCAGTAGTGATACATGACCGCACGCAGGTACGATGCCCATCCGGATCGAAACACGCAGAGGTGGGGATTGAGCCCAGGATCCCTGGGGGGTTCTACAGCATGAGCTTTCGCTCCCTGTGCTCCGAGCTGGTGTGCCCTAGACCACTCCGCCATCGATCCCCCCCAGATGATCTGTAATCACTTTGGTAGACTGTGTACCTTAAATACACATCTGTCGTATGAACGAAACTATTCCTTTTACTACCTTTGGTACTCTGTACATCTTAAGCAGAAATCTGGCATAAGGAGTTAGTATTGATTGAAGTTTAGTATGTTCTAAAACTTAGAGGCTCTATTGAGCCTCATTTTTAACCAAAAACATAGGCTGCACACAAAGGCACCAAAAGCGTTTAAGAGGTTGGGACCTTACTTCAAAATGTTTACCTCAAACGCCTGAAATGTCTGGGGCAGTGACCACCCAGCTGTCTCGAGGCTACTATTGGCAAGATGATTAATTCTTTCTGCTGAAGATTTCATTCCTAACCATTAAGCCTGCCATGCACTTCTCCAAATGAGAAAGGCGCAGACTTCCTTTTAGTAGAGCAAAATACAAAGGAATGTAAACGTACGTCTGGAGAACTCTTTGCTGGTCGTGTATGTAGGCTGGAACTTGGTCTCGTGCACCACGGTGGAAGTGGAAGGGTAGAACTCGGGGCTGGAGTCGAGGTACGGGGGATGGGACTGGGGCGTCTCGAGGCCATACTCCTGAGACTCGTCGTAGGAGTTGTGTCCCAGGGCCATCTCCTCCTGATTCATGTCGTTCAGCGTATGCAGGGATTCACTGATATGGTTGTAGCCTCCTGCAAAATGCACAAAAAAGAGTAAGGAACGTTGCATTCAGATACTAAAGGAGATAAGTGAGCAGCTACCCCGTTTGTTACTGCAAACTGCTTTGAAGTGACAAGCATATCTAGAAACATCCTAATTTTAGATATGCACATACATAGTCTGCGCTCACCAAACACTGAACACTACTTTATTTTAACGGGGGGAGAATACTGGATAATAGGAGTGCCATTTTAAGGTTGCTGTGTAAGCAGTTTGCACTTAAAACTCTCACACCAATTTAAGAAAAAAAAAAGGCAAACAGTGCCTACAAAAGCACTCTTTTACCGCTGAAGCACAACTCAAGGCTGTGGGCACTCACATAAAAGTGACCAAGTAAAACCCACACCCTGCCATTCCATATTGTGCCATTAACATCAAAATGGCTGCCCATCTTAAGTGAATCCTCATGGCTGCCTATCTCCAATCAAGGCAACGAAATACAAGCAAAGAACTAATATAAAGATGGGGGGAAAAAAAGTATGAAACACGGGACAAAACGTGCGCGAGAGAAAGAAGCACGGTCATTCCGTCTTGGTCCACAACTTCGTAAAAAAAGAGCAAATTACGCGCTGTGGTTTTGAGGCCTCCGCCGCGATTCTCGTTGCAAACGGAATGTTTGCGCAACGTGGTGCTTTTCGGTCAAGGGGGCGCAACCGAAGCCTCCCTCGGTCGAGTAGCGACGCCCGCGCGGGCGGGCGAAATAAAAGCGGGCCGCGAACGGTCCACTGGCACTGGACGTCATTCCGCGCCGAGGGCTCGGGGCATGAAATCGGCCCAGAACAAACGCGCATTCAATCAAGTTAAAGTGACGTCGTACACAACAACGACCAAAGCCGTATGGTTTCCTCGTTGCCAAACTAGTCCCTGAATTAACGCCACATTACTTATGCCCGTGTCCCACTAGAGCGACAGACAGAAACAAACGACAGCGACAAGCCTCAAACCAGAGTCCTTTGTGATTTGAGAGGCGTTGTAGAATAAAGGAGGCTATGCTCAAATACGAGCAGCATGCACGCGAGAGTATCTTTGCCAGACTTGCAATCGCTCGTGCTTACTTCACGAGTACCGAACGACTAAACGCCTGCCTAAGGTACCATCGCGAGCATGCTGCATGGGTTTGAGGCTTGTCGCTGTCTCTTGTTTCTGTCTGTCGCTCTAGTGGGACGCGGGCATTGTAGTATATCTAATCAACAGGCGAAGTACACCGACACCATGAAAGTGGAAGCGGCAGCTTATAAGTCGCTGAAGAATGTATTATTTTGAACTTTAAATTAGGACCTTATCACATTTGTAGTGTCTCAACGCCGCTCCATGAATATTAAAATGTCCGACAAAAAAAATATAAAAAAGGACAGTGTCAATGCGGACTTTAAATGATCGGTCTACTTGTCTTCGTGTAGGGAAGATTCCCTCGTTAAAGCGCCGATTCTTTCTTTACCTGCCGTAATAGTATCATCAAAAGAAGGAACAACAAATGAGCTCATTCCGTAACCAAGCGCGTTAACCTTAAGTCCGAAGGCAGGTTCACACATTTGCGCCGACCGCGTTGCGCTGCGTTGCGTAGTGCAGCGCAGCGCCTCCCCAGTGGGTCGTCGTAAGGGTCGCCATAGCAACAGCTCGATGCAAGCAGTTTTAACGAAGTAAAACGCAGTCAAACGCAACTGTGTGAACGAGCCTTCATGCACACAGTTGCGATTTACCCCGTTTGACCGCGTTGCGTCGGAAAATGGCCGCGAGCCACCGGGTCATCCATACTTCGTGTGAAGCAGCTGGGCGCGCAGCATACAAAACACGGACGCCTCGGTTACTCACAGTCACAACTCCCGTCAAACGCACCCCAACGCTCTCAACTCTCGAACGCGACTGTATTTACAAGCTTTTACAGAGTTTGGGACGACCCAATCTTCGGGCGTCCGCGCTGTAGGGCACAGCGGTGGCCCGTCAGAGTCCCTGGGTCGTGTCCGCTGACACGACTTGTTCACCGGGCGACCGGAAACCTTAATTCAGCGCCTGCTGAAGCGGGCAACAGGTGGTCGCCCGGCCGTGCTACGGGAGCGTTGCGTCAGCGCCACCGGACGAGAAGGCAGCTAAAACAAAAGCGACTAACGCAATTTTCTCCGATCTAAAAGAGACAGCCTCGAGCCAAGGCTACCCGCTGCCGACCGACTCGCGGCAGAGGCCACCGACGCAGCGCGCGCGAAGGGAGAGCGGGCGAGCGACGGAACGGACGCAAGTATACCGCGCTCCCGTTGCTTATTTCACGCCACGAATTAGAGTGGTGCACGCGAGTGGATGATGATGATGCACCTCTCGGAGAGTACGAAACTTTCCCAGGAACTGAACAAGAAGCAACAAGGAGAATGGCCTTCGAAAGTTTCGCAAAACAAGAGGCCAGAAAGTAAAAGCGAAACATTCATGACTGGCAAGTACTGTTGTAAAAGTATGGTATAAAAATGTATCGGCTTTTTTTTTCTTCTTCTTCTTTGTACACAGTGCGCGGAGAATCAATTGTCCAAGTCCTCAAACGAACTCTAGAGCGTAAAAATGTTTTGACACAAATATGCGACATGATTATATAAATCATCGTGCCAGGTAGCGCAAATCGTATTCCAGAGGTATGGCATTTTGTGGATTCTAATTTGAAGTGTTGTTATCGAGGTCACAGAGATTCCGAATGTGCTTCAAGGTGAAAGTTGGCTGAAGTGCATTTACTAGAGCGTGGATGTGAGCTTCAGGTAAGAGTTTCATAACGTTTACATTTTCGTACATATGTCTGATTTCTTAAGGATATTTAGCTCGTCCACAACGGCTTCATTGATATAGAAAAACTCGTCGTTACAGCCGTCGTTTTGTTTTCAATATCACTCATATAATCACTAAGAGAGGACATCGGACAATGATCGCAATATTCATTCGCTCACCTCCGCCTCAATGCCTTCTTTTTTTTTATAACATTACATTAGTTATACACGCATATGCCTTCAAAATCATCAATTCTTATGAAACCAATTTAAGAGAAATTGTAGTCCCGCCCTCAGAATCATCAAATAATATTATACCTTTATAGACCAATTGTAGTCCCGTTCGAATCTTCGGACTACTAATAACAGCAAGATAAAAGGTGACTCTCCGTGATGTAGTGCGAAACCATTACGTAATAATGAAAAGGGAGGAAGAAGCTGTTGCTACCACAAAAGTTTGGAAACGCTATAGTCTTAAAACAGTGTGCAGCAAAAAAGCGCATAGGTAGTGAAGCTCAGTCATGTTTCAACACGTACACGCTTTTCTAAAGTCAGTGACCATACACGCTCATGGACAGATGTTTAAAAGGAAGCGAAATAAAAAGAGAATAAAGAAGAACGAGTGTTCGTGTTGCAATTACCAGTGCACGCACGCGCGAAAGAATATTCCCTTTTTAGACACCGCCAGGGTTTTCCCGATAAGGCCTTCGACTTGACGAGCGAGAGAGACATAAATTACTAAAAAAAAAAGAAAAAAACCGAAGCGAAACGCAGCCCTCTGCAAGACAATACTGGCCGGGCGGCACACGAGCGAGGTCGCCAACAACTGCCAAACCAAATAAAACTGGAGTCGCGAGGAGGGTTTTTCCGCGTCAGCGCCCGATTTTCATTCGTCCCAGAAGAGTCACGTATGACCCGGGAACGTCAGGCGATTTTGACACAAGGGTCGTTGGTCGTTGGACTCCCGTACCTGTTCTTCGTAAAAAAAAAAAAAAAAAAAAGCTGCATACTCCAATCCTTCGGCAAAAGCACTAACTATGGCATGCATGCTTTGTCCCTTCGGCAAAAGCACTAAGTAGGGCATGCATGCTTTGTCCGCAAAACGGTTCTCTGGTCCAAACGTCTCTTCGCAAGCCTAGCACTTCTGAGCCTCTGGAAAAGAGCCTCAGAATGCAGAACCAATGCAACTTCCGGTGGTTTCCTACTCTACGCACCAAACGCCCCAAGCCATTAGGGAGTTTTCGTAGATCGGGTTTCCCCCTCCGCTAAGCCCTCCGCAACAAAGAAGCTGCTACTGCGCCTGCGCGCCCATGGCCTTAACTGTAGAATTTCGGGTATCGTAGCGGGTTCCGGAAGGCTTAGCGGAGCGGGAAACGCGGTCTACGAAAACTCTCTATTCTAGTCGATCTAGCGCTGTGAAAGCATCACGTGACTATGCCCCCGCGCGTCGCTGTTCCGCTCCCGCAGGTCACGTGACCGTCACATTTCCTTGCATTGGGTTAGACGGCTTGCAGAATCCGCTCCGATCCATCGTAACGGGAAACGAAGACTTGCCAGCGAAATCCGCTACTAACACAAGATTTTTCGGAGCTCACTTGTTCAATACAGCCTAGAAGATATGACTTCCCCTGCCTCCATTGTAGAGGCCATGTTTAGTCCACATACATCGCGGACGGTAGAATTTGAATCAGTGAAAGAGAGAAAGAGAGAGAGAGGCAGAAAGTACCATGTTGATGGCGGCCCTTTAAATGTCTCGCATACCTACGAGGGATGACACATCCAACCGAATTATAATTATGAAAAATAAGCTGCCTTCTCAGAGGTATCCGTCATCACATCTCCCACTCGCCAAAAGAGGGGCAGGGAGTACAGGAAGGAAAGGAGGGAAGGGACACCAGGCGTACCCCCTGCGGCTGGCTTGTCATCTCAAAGTGGGCGCGAGGAGTCGCCGCCGATGGCATCTGGGGTGCCGCGATAAGCGGACGCACGGGACAGGAAACGCTATCGGCTAGCGAGATAACAAAAGGCGAGAGAGTGAGCACATTGGAGTCATGGGTGCGGGGAGAGGCGAAATTAAAATAACTAAAAACGAGATTTGGGGAACGACCCGCGTCGAGACAAGGGACCAGCTCCGCGTTATCGGAGGACGGCACACGCGCAGCTAGCTCAGACCGCAGCGTACGCTACGAGCCGTGCCGGCAAATCCAGCGTTGTGAACATATCACGTGACTACGCGCCCCTCGCAAAGTAACGTGACACTCGCACGGCGTTGGATTGGCTGGGTTTTCTCGTAGCGTCCGGTGCGGTCCATCCTAAGATGCAACGGAGTATAACACCGGACTTCCAAGGCATACCGCCTTCCGAGGCGGTACCGTTAGGAGAGGGCCCGTGCATCCACCACGGATGGGGCAGATCCTGAAAGTGGGCGAAGCCGAGCCGGACACTTCTACATTTTCTTTTTTTTTTAACTTTAAGTCTGTTTTGTCAGCTCTCGTTTCCTTCCTCCGAACACTCACGCGCCGGTTGATGATCGAGGAGATGCTAGTACGACACCGAGAAAAGGTGACTTTTGTGCGCGTGGTACCCTCGCGCTATCCCGCTTCGTCATCTTGACGTGACTGGGAAAGTGCTAACTTAAGTGAACTAGGAGTCGATAAGTATACGAGATTGCATCTCTTAGGACAACAGGAGACCCCCTAAATTAGTGACCTGTCCGCGCATACTCTTTTTCTTTCTTTTCGACTCTCGAGGTTAGATTTGAAGAGAGATGTTTAGGATGCAACTTAGCGTCGTTGGAGCCACTCACTATCGCTCGAAAGAACTGTTCCCGGGGGTGTGCCGCATCGTCGACCGCCCTCCAAATGCATCTTTTTTCAGATGTTATCACCCGGGCCAGAAAACAAACTCGGGGCTGTGGACGCACCCGTGGCGTCCGATCATTTCGCGGGAGAGAGCTACTGAGCACGCTCAGGGCGCCTTCCACAGCCCAGTGTACAAAGATGGAGGCAGGCAAAAGGCGATAATTGAAATGGTCTATTCAACGCACTCCCCGAGTCAGCGACCCTGCGCGTACAAACCAGACCACACGGCACGGCGCCGCTGCTAACCATGGCACACTCCAAACATCCGCCGGAAGCAAATCTCGAAGCCCCGGCGTCGACAACAGCAACAAGCACAAAATGAGCTAACTAAAAACGAGGGCTAAAGCCGAACAGCACCGCCCTATGGAAAAAGGTTTGCGTTGGACAAACCCCCGCAAGAAAAAAAAAAGAGCTATAGCTTAAAAGAAAAAAAAAAAAACGCAATCAACAAGCCGTAGTTCGTAAAACAAAGGTTGGCGCGCGTGTATACGCTCGCCCTCTGTCGGGCTTTTTCGCGATCCCAGAACAAACCCAGGAAAGGCGGGGTCCCCCATATATGCATGGCCCGCAAACGCGAGCCAGCCTCCAACCGTGGCGCCGTTTCCGGCGCAGCAACAGGTGAGCCGACCGGGACACAGGAGGGCCCCGGTCAGCTAAGCACGAGGGGGAAGCCCGCCGTGTGAGCCATAACACCCCCCCCCCCCCCCCCCCGCAAATACAATTAAAAAAAAAAAAGCTTAAATAACACCGAAGCAGCACCGCTACGCATAGAGAGAGCGGACCCCAAAGCCCAGCTCTCTTCACGATCCTCGAGTGTGCGGCCAGTCTCACAACGATTTCCGATTCTGCCTCTCATTTTTATTTCTGGTTGATGGTTCTTTCAATCTGGAGGCGCGAAAGTGCACGCTAAGGGCAGCCCTCCTCCTTTTTGCCGTTGTTTGCGCGAGTTGTTCGAAGCGCATAATGCGCGAACAGGAAGCTGTAATTAGCGGAGGAAGTGGGATCGCGCACCCTCAGCTCGAGTGTAGCAAAGAGCGCGGCGGAGCCCCGAAGGCGTGTGATCTCCGAAGCCTCCTCCGGGAGTGGGGGATTTATTTTCAAGAGAGAGCCCTTAGGGAGCCGTCATAATTAGGCGCGCGGCGGAAGTGCGGGATCGCGGACTCTTCCGGTTTGGAGAGAAGAAAAACAGTATCACAGACGGGCCTGTTCTTTCTCTGGTGTCAGCAAATGAGCGAGTTTGGCCCTGACGTTCTTGTCGATCGCGGTGGTCCTTGATAGTTCCGAGTTCTGCGGATGATCCGATGCGAAACGTACGTAAGGTCATTCGCCGAACAACGGAGCTTATTTTTGTGACCCTGCCGCTACTGTCGATCGCGAGAAGCGATATCTCGTTACTACGAAACAACGCAGAGTTTTCAGAGGTGGATTCGATGTTTTCAATACTTTGAGCAGAACGTGACACCAAGGAGTTTGAAGTTTGCTCGCAAACCAAACGTTAGTGCCCGTAAAACTGCAAATCCCAGCAACATTGGCGTGCGGATTTTGTCTTCGTAAAAACAGTAGTAGTAGCAGCAGTAATAACAATATATATTTCGCTATGTAAAGTCGCAATGCCACATACAGGCGGTTTGCCCGTACCAAGGGCTACTCGGGTATCATTGGACAAACGGAAATTCGGTCGGTGTTGTCACTTCGGAGTTTGCAAGAGTGTGTCTCACGACGATTGCTACTCATCCCTCCTTAACTTTTTTTCTTTTTTTTTTAAATTTTGTTTTGTTTCTTATACGCCACGTGTCCCGCGTTCTTTGTACATTAGACTCCGAGACCAGTACCTCCAGCTTCTCGTTTCCTTCCCGAACGACATTCGGGACTAAAAATAAAAGAAAACAAGATCGAGAGGGAAACTTGGGGAAAGAAGGGACGCTCACCGTCGATGTAGGTCTGCGACGTGGGCGCGGTGGCTCCATTCATGACAGGCGTCACCTTCTGCTCGGGCATCGGGAAACTGCCTCCCTGCTGGAAGAACTCGTCCAGCTCCGGCACGCACACGGACTCGTACAGGTTGGATGGCACGTTCTCCAGGGACGCGCGCTCCTTCTCAACCTCTGCAAGGACAACGCGCGCAGAGACACATGAGTCCGCTGTGCGTGTCGCCGCACATCGCGTACACATAGCAGGCGGCTCCTCGGCGCTCGGGTTCGGCCGCCGCCGCTTTCAGCGCTAACATCTGTTTGCGAGCTCCGCCGATTCATGCTCTCCGCCGCGGCGATGGCACAAGTCGCGAGTTCTAGCACAGTTGTTCGCTTTTGGTCGGGAGGGCACGCGCGCACATCATGCACTCAATACACGGGAATGAGAGCAAAAATAAGATAAAAAAATTAAAAAGCAAGAAAATTTTATTTGCGGCATGCCGTCGCTGAAAACTGTACTGGAAAGATTTGTTTTCCCCCGTGTAGATGGCACCGTTTTATTGCGGCTTACTGTGATCACTTGGTGCGACTCAATGACACAAAAAAGGTCACTCAAATCTTCGATGGCGCCAACTTCATCGTAGGGGATCATGGTCTGTGCATACTCGTTTGGGAGCAGACGAAAGGTCCTTAATTTTCCGGCAAAACAAATACATATACATTTAGAAATTGCGACACGTTTAAATCAAAATACAGATTAGGCCGCTCGACAATTAATAAAACCCGACAATAACAACAAAAGAACGAAACGAAACACAACAATTTTTTTCTTTCTTTTCTAGGCAGGACGTTACTGGTAAAACGCATAGCAGGAAAACAACAAAATAAAATGATTGAATTCGCTAACCCCAATGTCATGAAAGAACGAGAAGGCGTAGCTCTGACAGTGGCCAATGGGGCTAACTCCAGTGTGTGCTTCAACTCGCGGGAGAGGCAGCAAAAAATAACCAAGCGCAGCACAGGCAGCGCCTTGTAAAAGACCGAGGAAGTGACCCCACAACACGAACATAGATGCACTATCATCGTCGGAGCTAAACACACCACATATAATTTATGCTGCACTATCTGCGGCCCCTTTATCTCGGCAAAGCTGCGGAGCCACCTGTGAATTAGTCAATGCGAGTTCTCATTGGCAACACGTATCGTGAAAGACATCTGTTCATATGGAGCCGCAACAAGAAGAGGTTCGGTTTGACTGTGGAGCTGATTGGTCGAAGTACAACTGTGCTTGTTATTAGGATAGGCGTCTACGATAAGAAATGTGCTGACGTAGGTAGAACACGTTCTTGTGAGTCATGCAACCGCTGGCCTTTCCCGCCCCCGCGCAGCAACAGTCGTAATAACCGCGGCAGACAAAAGTGATAAAGCAGAGTGGTCTGTCGTAAGACAATGGCAACTTTCTTTTTCTCTTGTCTGCGTCGAATGTATTCGGAATAATTGTCCACAACACAGAGGCTGTACGCTAGCCGGGTCAAGGATGCCCCACAAATGAACCACATTTGTACGGGTCTTAAGCAGACTGGCCACAATGCCTTGGTCTCTACAATAAACCGAGTTGCCTACGCGTATAATACGCGGCTTGAATGCAAAGTTCCGGACCGCGCTGAAGTTCGACCACGCGACGGGCTTTCAACAAATACCAATGTCTTCGTTATTAACGCCGAGATGTTTCGGTGGCGACCTCTTATGGTTCCGATCATGGAGTCACTATAACGTACGCTAGGGGTTTCAACTGGCGCTTGTGTTCATGCGACTTCCGGAATGGGTTTACAATATTTTTTTCGTGGCTATATTAGCTTGCGAATTTACATTAACCTTCAGTTGAGAGTGCACCTTGTCCTGTTTCCCTTCGTCTGTGTCCCTGTGTTTTTTCGCCGCTGTTTTTCGTTTCCAATGAACCAACTGGCCCAAATCTCCACTTCATTGAATTTGGAAGACAAGGACTGTAACTGACCAATATTTTCATTTACGTAATTGCGAAATGTTTCCAGCTATTTACTACTTCATAATTATTTATAATGTTTGCTCTTATAATCAAGCGCACCTGCATTATTGGAAGCCAAATTTCGAATGGTTGCTGTTTGCTTCAATTTAAAACAACACAGTAGCGCCAGCCTCTATAGTACATTATAACTCTATGGTTCCCATCCGTGAAGTCACGACCAGGGTTGGCCTTGCCGTGATGACACGAGTTGTACATCCTGGCTACATATCATTCGTTGTGAACCACAAGTTCGACAGTGCGTGTAAAAAGCACAATGGAAGCTTGGAGCATCGCATTCTTAATCCAATACGTTTCTCTGACATTACTCTGCTTCCCGTCGATGAAAGCAAAACTAATCCAACTAAAGACGTCTGGCCAATCGTGGAATGCCGACCACAGCGACGCTTTCGGTCGCTGACATCGGCACTGAACACAAACACTGACTGAATAAGATGATTAGCAGAAGAGTGAATTTCGAACTACAGTACGAAGCATAAAAATAGCCGCAAATCTAATCAACGAGAAACCCGGCTCCTGACTCAAAAAACGCGAAGGGTTCACGTTGTTTGAATTCACGGCATATGACGAGTAGTGTTAGGTGGGGTAAAATGAGACTTGGGGCAAAATGCGACAGTTTTTGTTTAGCGCCATCCATCTCTTAGACAAGCAAACGGAGTACGTTCAAACTTCATACAGAGATGCCGTGACCAGCACACTTTGCGTGTGTAAAAAAGTGAGAGCTGTCGGCAAGAAAGTTTGGAGAAGAAAAAAATGCGGAGTTGAGGTTGTCGTGTTTACCCCCCGCAAAAAGGCGCGAAATTCAGCGCGAAGTTTCGCCTCGGAACGTGCACCCCGGTGGGCACCGACAATTCTGACAAGGTAGGCTTTAATTTTATTGCTACGCTTTATTACCTCCATGGTAACCAAATTTGAGCAATTTGTGTGTGTGTGTGTGTGTGTGTGTGTGTGTGTGTGTGTGTTTGTGTCTGTCTGTCTGTGTTTAACGCACTGATCTCTATGACAATTGCTGGATCGCGCTTCCCCGCTTGTTCGCTGCAGCGCAAGTGAAGCCACCGGGCTTCACTCGCTTGGGATACGATTTGCCGTTTTTGCTAGCCTTTGCTGCGGTTTTCCAGCGTGCTGACGACACGTTTTCTACTCGTTCGTCGTCATTCGCCGAAGAAGTTTTTTGAAGACTTTGTGTATTGTTGAGACTTGCCGTTGTGAACACGTGGAAAATTTTACGAAAGTGCAGTGTCGCAGGAAAAAGGCACAACGCGTCGAAAGGAAGGGCTGGCGGCGTGTTCAAAGCTTCCTTGGCACGCCGAAGTGCCGTGTCTCTGTGCCTTCGCACGCTTGGATACCGACCAAGAACCGACGCCGTGTGTATGTGTTCAGCGAGTGCAATGTGCGTGAAGCTGTTCGTGCCTCTGGATCGCGTCTTTTCCTCTCGCGGTTTAGGAACGAGCTTAATCCAGCGTCCACTAGCGACGGAAGATGGGGAGAAGGTACGTCTTTTTTTCGTCCTTAGACGATTTACACAATACCGTGCACAACAGCTCCTCATCACTGATCAGTGCTGGCTTATTATCAACCTACTTAATTGCACTTGACGTTTGAGCGCGGCTCGCCTAATTGTAAATGGTCAACAGATTGCACACGACCATATCGGCCGCGCTTCAAAGATTTTCATTCTCGCCGTCTTGTACTTTTGCTTTCGAAAACCCCCCTGGCTCCACAACGTTGCCCTATTCGTGCTCCCACGGAATCTATTAGAGTAGATTTGGGACATAGCCATGGTTAATATAGTACATAAGAACACGTACAGATCTCTCCCTTTTATTGATAGCAACTCACCGGAACAGCTGGACGATCCAGAACTCCGTGGCCGATATATATAAATGATCTAAAGGCATCTACGCGCGACACACGTTCAGAACTTTGGCGCGGCGTCAATTCTTGACCGGTATCCAAGCGTGCGAAGGCACAAAGATGCATCACTCGGCGTGCCAAGGAAGCTTTGATCACGCCGCGACACCGGCGACACGTTTTCGACGAGTTGTACCTTTTGATACGGCTTCACGCACATTGCACTCGCTAAACACATTCACACGGCGTCGGTTCTTGGTCGGTATCCAAGCGCGCGAAGGCACAGAGACACGGCACTTCGGCGTGCCAAGGATGCTTTGAACACGCCGCCAGCCCTTCCTTTCGACGCGTTGTGCCTTTTTCCTGCGACACTGCACTTTCGTAAACTTTTCCACGTGTTCACAACGGCAAGTCTCAACAATACACGGAGTCTTCAAAAAACTTCTTCGGCGAATGACGACGAACGAGTAGAAAACGTGTCGTCAGCACGCTGGAAAACCGCAGCAAAGGCTAGCAAAAACGGTAAATCGTATCCCAAGCGAGTGAGGCCCGGTGGCTTCACTTGCGGGAGCGGCAAGCGCGATCCAGCAATTGTCATTGAGATCAGTGGTTTAACGAAATAATTATTTACGTAGCGGGGTACGCGCAGGGTAGCACGCGACAATCTGGTATTTTGTGACGCCCTTGTCAGTAACGCATGAGACACCTGGTTGCTCCTGAACCCCATTCTTTTTCTCCTGGTGTCTAAGATGGTCGGAAGGTATAAAAGAAAAAAAGGCTTTCATAGCGCGAAAGCGACATGAAAAAAAGCTTTTGAAAGTGACAATCCACAGCGTCACGCCCTTTGCACTGCTGCCACACTTTTTGGCGGACCAAAGGATGTGCTTCAAAGGCTAGCCAAACGAGTCGGGTAACGTAAAAAAACAGCCAACTCTACAAAAATAAATAAAAAAATAAAATAAAAAAAAACAGGTGAAACCGAAGAGTAATAGTATAGGTGATCCATTGGAGAAGCGCGCAGCGCCCGAGCGTTTGCAGACCTTGCGATGCACAAGAAACTAACAATCCCTGGCATATATATATATATATATATATATATATATATATATATATATATATATATATATATATAAAAGTATGAATGGAGTGTATGGCATGCAGGGAGTGGGCTCATGAAAAGTACGTTGGAGCTCACACAGTGCGTTCAAACTTACACGGTGTGCCTCAAGTTTGTTTTGTTTGTTTTTTAATTATTACTATTGCCAATACTGAACGCATATCA